CTTATATATATATATATATATGATTATTATTGCTAAACAAGTTATTTTTCGTCTAAAAACCTATCCTGGTTACTACCTTTCTCCTTCGCACCACTTCCAGTTGAATTAGCCAGCTAATTTTAGCATATTTTGTAACCAACTTAATAACTGTACAAAAACCATGTTAAAAAAACTATACATATACACAAATAATCGCAAAAACTGCCATAATTTTTTCTTTCTCTGTTCTTTTAAGGAGCCACTCTTCGTGCTAGTAGAAGATAATGGTATCTCACAGCTAGCTTAATTTCCTCCACCAGGAAGCATGTGGTAATTTCAGTGGCAGGATACATAAAAAAAAAAAAAAATGACGACACGAGACCTAGTGTCACTAAGAAAACATTTGATAAGAGAGAATTATTTTTATACATATAAATTATATTTTTATAGAATTATAATTACCGAGAATTATGATTTTTGAAAATAATAAAATATATTTAATTACTTAAAAATATTTATACATCTTAAATCTTAAACCATATAAATATTTAGAATTATTAATTACTTAGAATTATAAATACTCAGAATTATGATTATTTATAAATTCTAAATCCTAAAATATTTATACAGGATTATCAAAAATTAATTATTTTTATGTTTGATTTTAATAGTATATAAATATTTTTATAAAATATCTTTTATTAAAATATTATTATATATATTTATTCAAATTTTATTATAAATATGACATTAAATTATTTTTAAAAAGTTAAAATTTTATAATTAATTAAATATACAATTCAAATATATATATATATATATATTATCTTATAATAAAAAAGAATAAAAATATTTTCATATCATTCAAATAAATTAATTAAAAAATATTAACAAATATCATTAAATTATAAAAAATAAAATAAATTTTAATAATATTATTAAAATTAACAAGATCAAACAAAAAAGAGAAAGATAAAGATATAAGAGGGAAAGAAAGATAGAGAGCGAAAAAGAAAAATAAAAGAGGCAGAAGGAAGTTAGAGAAATAGAAGGAAAAAGAGAAATAAAAGGAGAAAGATATTTGAAAAGATTAATTTTAATTACATATATTTTTTATTTAAAAAAAATACTATGATTTTCACAAAATCTTCTTCCTAATTTGAAATTTTCGAATTTCTAACTCCTCTCGAAGAAAATTATGTCTCTTGAGAATTTTTTCTAATAACTATCAAATATAAAAAATTAAAAATTTTAATTTAAAATTCATAAAAAAATATAAAAAAATTATATACCAAATACTTCATGTAAGAAGGCTCAAAAACAAAGGAGGTATAATACTCCCTGATTTCTCTATTATAAGTTTTTTTTGTTTAAATATATTAATTTTTTAATTAATTATCTGAATTAAATTTTTATGAATTTTATAAAAAATTTTAAGATTATTTTTTGTAAATGTCAACTAAAGTAGCGATTATGCATTAAAATAATCAAGAATACTAAAAAATATCATTAAATGAAAAAGATTTTAAAATTTATTTATATTTTAAAAAAATGTGTTTTTTTTCTTATACAAATTTATTTTCTATTTTTCCCTGCAAAGCCAATTTCCTTCACGTAATTACTTCATTTGGATTGAATGTATGTTTAATTGATATTTCTTCTAATCAGAATTGTTTTCACTAAAATTGTTAAGGCAGACACAATGTATCTGACATCATATCTGCTGCCAAACTAGATTATCTGGTCTCATACATTTAGTTTGCTATACCTTTATTTATTTATTTTGTTTCTCTTCTTACACTGATTGGATGCTGTGCAAGAGCAACAAGACTGTTAGGACCCAAGGAGAAACATAGAAAGGTAATTGGCATGTGTATTAAGGAAATTCTCTCACACAACGTAGCTTCAGATTTTCTAGTTTATATTTTAGGGCAGTTAGAAAATTCTTTCATATGTCTTAATTAGCACAAATTCCCACTGTAATTAACAAGATAATTAAAGACCTTAAGAAAGAGTTCCAAGTCATAACGACATCTATTAATTACATTTACATTATGAACCCATGCTAATTTACTTTCCTACAACTAATGCTTAAGAAAAAAACAAAAAAACTTACCTAGAGACAAACCCAAAATTTACCACTAGATATATATGGCTACCCATACATTGCGCACCAAATCAATGGCTGTACACCTCGATTGATCTACTACAATTCTTCACCAACATTTTTGTTAATAAATTATCAACACGTCATTAAGCGTTATTATAAAACCACATATTAATACACTTAATGATGTATTAGTATCTTATTAATTTAATAGACTGATAATTCATAAATTATTTTTTTAAAGTAATAATCAGCTAGGCGACGAGCACGGGCGCACTCACGGACTTTCATATTCAGTCTCGTGCTTCCGCGCAATGCAAAAATACACGCGAACGACGTCGTGGCGGCAAGCAATTTCAGAAAGGCTTGGAGAGGTACATGAAGATATCCTGCAGCGGCAGCATCTGATCCCCGCTCTGGAACTGCGACCCGAGCGTGGCGTCCACGTAATTAAACGCAAACTCGTTTCCCCTCTTCGGCTCGCTCTGCACCTCGCTCGCGAACTCCGGCGACACCGCGTGCTCGGAGCAGCTCGAGTCCGCCGTGTGCAGCCGCGGCACCGAGTCCGAAGCCTCGAAGTGCACGCTATCCGCCGCCGCGCCGCCACGTGTCGCAATCCCAGGCTTCTCCTCCATTTCGGAACATTCCATTTTGCGCGTCACACTCGGTGGTTGCTTCTCGATGGAGCCTTTCTTGTTGTAGATTCGACACAGCACCCAGTCATCCAGCTGCAAAATCAGGTACACACATTTTATTTTTTTTAATTTTTAATTATATTACTCCTAACTTCATCGAGATAAGAACGAATAATTAAGATAACAATTGATTCACGAAAACATTTATTATTATTTATTTATTTAAAGTGAAAATGATTATTTTGGCGAGGGGTAAAAGAGTAATTTAGTTATTATTATTATTATTATTATACCCTCAAGGTGTTTTTTTTGCGAGCGGAACGATCCACGTCAGCGAGACGATACTCGTGCATGATCCAATTGGTTTTCTCTCCCTTGGGAGCTTTTCCAGCGTAAAAGACCAGAGCTTTCTTGATTCCAACCGGTTTGGGTTTACCAATGGGTTTATCCGCTCCGGTTGCCTTCCAGTATCCGGTTCCCGCGGACCGGTTTGGGCGCGAGCCGTTTGGGTACTTGCGTTCCCTGGGCGAGAAAAAGTACCACTCTTTCTCTCCGTACAAGGCCAGTCCTGTTAGTGAAAAAATATTATTAATTATTTAATTGGAAAAAAAATGAAATAATAAGGGTTAGTGTGTGTGTGTGTGTTTTTACCTGGAAGGTCCCACGGGTCGTATTTATAGAGGTCGATTTCGGCGATGATGGGAACGGCGATTTGGTGGGAAGCGCATTTTGGGCAGAGGTAGTGGACGACGAGTTCTTCGTCGGTGGGGTGGAAGCGGAAACCGGGGGGGAAGTGGAGGTGCGGTGCGGTTGCGGCCATTGTTGTGTGAGTGGCGGCGTTTGAAAGTTGGAGCGTGAGGGAGAGAGGGGGTTTTATAGGGTAGGGTTTGGGTGACGAGGATGGACACGTGTGGGAATTGAAAGTGCGGTGCGTGCGTGTCCAGAACCCACACGAAGCGGTATAGTCACTGCTTACGACATTGCTTTTGGACTCTGGCGCCGTGTCTGTCGGTCCGGACCTACCGCTTTGTTTTTCGTAGGGTTTCATTCGCATGCACTCGCCGCTCCCATTTATTCTTTTTCAAATCCTACGTTGCAAAACAATAATTATATAATAATTTAATATTTTTTTTATTTTTTCTATTTTTTATTATTATTAATACTATCTCTGTGTTCTATTTCAATGGATCAACTTAAAATAATAATTGTTTATTCTCTTATGGTATAAAATTTAATTTATATTATCTTATATATTAATTATTTTTAATTAAAGTGTATTACCTTAACTTGATTATATTAATTATAAACTTTTTAAAAAATATGTATTCTAATCTGTTTATTAGGAGAAATATAAGTATTAATTAAAAAAAATAGTATAAGATATGTATTAGAATTGATTATAAAATATATATAGAGATAATTTTAGATTATATATATATATATAGAGGATGGTTCAAACGACACCGGTGTAATTTTTACTAAGTGTTACACCGCTTAATAACTTTATATTAAATGTAAATTTTGAAAATCCAATCGTTAGATTGAAAGTTCATATCTCTTAGATCATATATGTCAAATTTTATATTAATCTAAGATGATTTGATACTTCATTCTCATAAAACAAAATTGACGTAATATATACATTTTAAAATATACTAAAATATGAACAATTTGATTACCTTCAAGTTGTTGTTCAATTTTAACAAAATTTGACATATATGATCTAAGAGATATGAACTTTCAATCTAACGGTTGGATTTTCAAAATTCACATTTAATATAAAGTTATTAAGCGGTGTAACACTTAGTTAAAGTTACACCGGTGTCGTTTGAACCCTCCTCATATATATAAGTAGGAAAAATTAATTTTTATTAACTAAATTGACAATTTTTTAAATTTTAGTGAATTAGGTAATTAGGTCTTTAATGAAGGTAATAATATCTTTCCATAATAAATGAAATAATAAAGAGAAATAAACATATGTGATGTTGTATAAGTTATTATTAGGCATGACAACGGAGCGGGATGGGGGCGGATTTTATGTTTCCCGCCCTCACCCCAGTCCTCGATACCCGCTAAGGGTAAAATTTGGGTACTCATCCCCATCTCTGGTAAGGTTCGGATTTTCCCGCCCCGCCCCCGCTCTTATTTTTTTTCTTTTAAATAAATATGAAAAAATTTAAAAAAATAAAAGAAAAGTAAAATAATATAATTTTTTACATATAAATATTTCTAATTTTTATTTATATATATATAAAAATAATTTTTTAATTATACTATTAAGCGGGGCGGGTATTAACATCGCCATCCTCACCCTCGCTCCCAATTTTATCAATCGGGAAAAATCCGAACCCAAACCCGAACTCGATAAACACAAGTTTTTTCCATCCAAATCGGGGCAGGTTCGGACGAGTATTTATGGAAACAGGTTAGATTGCCATGCCTAATTATTATACAATGTCTATTGTACATTGATACTACTTCTAATCCTAATTGTAACTTACATATGACAAATTATTAAGATAAAATAATAATAATTAATATAATTATTTTTAATTAATTCTACCATAAATACAAATTTTATTCTAATTATACTATTTATTTTAAGTGATTATTATATTTAATAATAGTTATAAATGGATGTAAAAAAATAGAATTAAAATTAAAGAGTTTATTTTTTTAATAATGAATAATTTTAAAAATTAATAATTATTATTTATAATTTAAAAAAATTAATTTATAACTTATAATCAAGAGAAAAAATAATTATATGAATGCATTTCTTTATAATAACTATAGATATATTAATGTTAATTGTGTCTTAATAATTTCTTTATAATAAAATAATGACATTGTGTGTCTAAAAATATTTAATAATTATCAAAATTTATTGAATTAATTGATGTTATATCTAGTTTTTAAATTTTAAAATCTTGATTTTAGTATTTAAGTTTAGAAAAATAATTAATTTTTAATACTATTTTTTGTTATTTAAAAATTTAATAATAAAAGAGTTAAAAAAAATTATGTACACCAAAACATCTTTTTATATATAGGAATAGGTTGCGTCTTAAAATAATTTGCGGTGTTGTTTTACAATTTCTTCTTGGTACTAATATTTTACTATATCAAATAAATAAAATGTCAAATGAAAGATATATGGGAAAGTATAAGAATATATATTTTTATATTATTTAAACTTTTGTCGGTCATTATTTTTAAGTATTTAAATAATTTTTTTTATAAATTTTAATCGTTGAACTTTTGTCAATTTTCTTTTTAAATTCCTAAATTTTTATTGTTAATATTTTTAATTCTTGACATAAAAATTCTTGTTCATGAAGAAAATTTTTAAGAACTAAGAGAAAATGCAAAAAATAAAAATAAAATTAAGAACCAAAAATATATTTAATCTATAATTTAGAGATAATAAAAGTTGTTAATATAAGTAATTTCTTGTAATTAAAAATTAAAATTCGATTCTTGATTTATATATGAAGGTGTGACAAAAAATATCATTTTATTTTTTATAAAAGTTTATTTAATAATAAAGAATTATATTCCTTTATATTTCATTTGATTATTTAAGTTCAACAATTTCATTTTGATATTTTAAAGTGTTTATATTAAGTTAAATTGATCATTTTTTTTTCAATTTGTCATATTAATTCAGTTAATTTGATAACATATAACAAATCTATCATATCATATGAGTGTTTCCTACATTAATTAATATTAAAACCGTTTAATATAAAAAGATGAGACAAAGATCATTTTAATTTAAGAGAGTTACTGTACCAGACCAAAAATATATTTTTTAAACTTGAAAATTAAGAGAAAACTCAGACCAGCAAAAACAAAATTTTCTAAACTACGTACAAAGTCCACCGCTAACACTCCATTTGGTGTAATGGAAGTGCATGGAGGGTGAACGATGGGTTTTGGAATCGTGCAGAATTGTGAGGAACTAGTTGCTCACCCTCTTATTCGTGTCTTAAAACTCATCAATGATAGAATCCATATCAATCTCCATACATAGCCATCTTTCTTTGGATGTAGGTAAAAGAATAATTGGCTAGAAATTCATCTTTCATATGTTTTTATTTTATTTTTCACAATTGAAACAAGAAGATTTAATGTGGAATGAATATTCAAACGATCAATTAAAGAATAATTCAACTATCCTTTATTTTCATTATCCTGACCTTGTCATATGTCAAAATTTATCGAGAGAATTCTCAATTTAGAATTAAATGAAACCTAAAGTTTATAAAATAAAGTTTCACTAGTAGAAAAACGAAAATTAACAACGCAATATTACATCGGTTGTAACAATCAATGTAATATGCTGTGTGGTGGCAATTTTTAAAATAATACCAACTATATTTTATCAGATATAGTTTAACCTATGTAGTATAATGTTTTTTTTAAAAGAGTAAATTATATATGCATTTTTTTGTGTGCTTTTTTAAGATTGTATTTAATATTTTTCTGTTATTTAGATTTATAGTGAAATCTTTCAAAACTTAAAAAGATGTAACACTCTTAATTTTTATATTTTTTTTAGGTTACATCCTATATTACTCCATTATTTTGACCTACAGTAAAACTCTTTAAAAATTGAAAAGATGTTACAGTTATATCTTCTGTGTTTTTTTTTATTTATACTTATATTTTATATTATATCAATATCCTTTTGTTATTTGGATTTATAATAAGAGTCCTTAATAAATAAGTAGTTAAAAATGATTATACAATAACAATGATTAAAAATAATAATTTTAAATTTTAGAAGAATAAAAAATAAAGAAAAAAATTACAGGGATTAAAATCTAATTTTAATCATTTTACATGACTAAAAATATATATTTTATGTCATTTCATAAATATAATAAATAAATTTATAATAATCAATGAATGAAGACAAAAATTAAAATATTCAATAGTTACTCTGTTTTTTTTACTCTAACACTTAATAATAAATGTGTTTTGTTTTAAAATAATAAAAATAATAGTGAAATTGAGTTACTTTATGTCTCTATATATTTTGTTTAAAAATATTTTTAAAAAATAAAGGTTACAAAATGTAAAAAAAAATGAAATAATACATAATTGAAAAAGAATAAAATAATCTTAAACAAAACTAAAGATCAAAGATGGTTATACCATAAGAAAATAGTTATTATTGATAAAGAGGATAATTAATGTTTTTTTTTTAGTAAATTACACTCATAAAAGGATATTGACTGTAATACTGAAAAAATACAAGAGATATAAATATAATATTATTTCAGCTTTTAAGGAGTGTCATTGTAATAATTGAGAAATATTTAGTGTGATATCAAAACATACAAAAAGTACAAGTGTAACATTTTTTTGAACTATGAGATCTCACCATAAACTTAAATAATAAAGAGATATTGAGTGTAATATTTTAAAAACATAGAAAATGTCAATATAATTTACTCTATTTTTTACATTAATCATAGTTTAATTGTTGTAAAAAGATTATAGTAAATCCGTTCAACTTTAAACCAATGTAGAAAATAGTATATTACATAATAGATGTAATGTCTTTAAAATTTTATAAACAAACAATTTTTTCAATATTGATAGATGCTTGGTGCGATGTGGACGTGGTGTGAAATGCCCTCACTTTCACTTTTATTTTAGGCTTAAATATGTTTTTAGTCTCTCAAATTTAGGGTAAATATATTTTTGGTCCCTCAAATTTAAAATTGTTGTTTTTAGTCCTTGTAATTTAAAAAAATTTTATTTTAGTTCTTATATTCAAATTTTGTTAAGTAATTTATTAAATATTATTGCATAAAATCTACCTATTCATGTCCCTATTAGTGAAAATATCACATTAAATCCGGTTGATATTGCATAACTATCTTAATTAGTCACTTTTAAATATGTTATTGGTGACTTGGGACTAAAACAAGAATTTTGAAAATTACAGGAACTAAAAACAATAGTTTTAAATTTGAGGGACCAAAAACAAATTTGTCTTAAATTTGAGGGATTAAAAACATATTTAAGCTTTTATTTTATATATGCTTGTGTTGTTTGTGTTTGTTATTTATTTTATTTTTTATATTTACAAATTTGAGAAAACGGAAAGGACATGAGAGGTTGTAGATTTGGTTGGAGCCACAAATGATGATAGAGTTGTGGATCTAGACGGTGCTGATAGGCCGGAGGTTCACCGTGAGAGTGATGATGGTTCATCGAGGAGAGGAAGTGTGTTTGGAGACAAAGGTTGACCGGAATGATAAGTAAATTTATATTCGTGAATAATATTTAAAATCGTTCAAATTTTGATAAAAAATATTAATCAAATATAAATACAAATATAAATAATATTTAATTTATTAAATTGAGTATAAGAATAAAAATGAATATATACTTATTCATCATCTACTTATATCCATATCCATTTTAAATTCATACAAAACCATTATATTTCATATGGTCGATATCAATTTTAGATCATTAATCTATATAGAATTAACAACGTTAAAAACTCTTTTATATTAGTAGTTACATTGTAGAATATAACTTTTGTTTTATTCTTTAAAATTATCCGGATAAAACTCTATTGTTTGTTCTCAATTTTTTTCATATATTAAGCAATTAAGTAAATTGTAAAGATCTCTTGAATATAAAGTTAAACTTGAAATAAGTGTAAAACTCAGGGGAAAAAATAATAAAAGTTAAATTATGTTTTTTTTTTTTTAAAAAAACTTTTTCACAAATCCCTATTCATGAAACAAACATTGATGTTAAAAGATTGGATCGCCTAACATGTGGGCTCCATCGAATGAGTTAGATCTCACTCATTACGCTTAAGTTCCACTACTAATTCCTCACAAGAATCACGAACACAAACTTTAATGGCACACAAAGTTAATAAGCTCCTTTCTCTTTTCAGTTCACATTGGGGAAAAGGCTTTTGGCAAACTTTTCCATTCCATAGCAAGCGTTTTTGCAACTTTATAATTAGTGGGGAACACCTTTAACTAAACTCAGTTAATAGCTTCATTATAACTAGATTGAAGCAAAGGTAGGTATTATTCGAGTCCGAGGCATGAAAGCGAATATATAACTCGGGTTTAATCAAGAACACAAACACTAAGAACTCCACTGAACTTGGCTTGACCTTTCAATGTAAAGTTTCTTTTATTTTCACATTTTTCAAATTTCTTAAAACCACTATTGTGTCCAAATGAAATGAACACGTTTGGTTCCTTTGTTCCACTTGGCCGAAGAAATATGAAACTCGACGAAAAATGAATCACGCGGAAGGAGGTCGGCAAGAGAAGAATATGACTTGTCTTTGTCTACAATTCAGTATTTGGAAAACAACAGAAAACTTTTAAAGGATAATAATAAATAAATAAAAAGGGTGCTAGCCGTCACAAAAGCCTCAGCTTTTGACCCTATCTCGAACTGTTTCGAATCTAGCAATGATCATAATCACTTGTTATTGTTGTTGTTTTTTTTTTCTTCTAATTTAATCATCATGCAAGCACTAATTAACTATATAATATGTAGAAAAAATAGACTTTATTCACACGATGAATATTTTCACTATTTAAATGATTTAAAACGATAAAAAAAAGCATTAAATAGGGTTTTTATGCGATAAACTTTACAAGTTATTTCAACTTTATTAAGTACTTGGTCAAAGTGATAATGGGTTTGCACTCCCTTACCTTTAAGGTGCAGAATAAATAGGATGGAGAGGGGAAAAAAAGGTAGAATAATAAAAAAGTAAATGTATTTAGTTGGAAATAAATGAGAGAGGAGAGGGATAAAAATGTGTAACACTCACTTAGCCACTGGCCCACTCTAGGTCCATGACCATGAAGGATTCAAAACCGTTTTTAAAAAAGGTTAAATATCTTATTTGGTCCCTTATAATATTTTTTTTTGTTTCAATTTAATCCCACTTTAATTTTTTGTTTCAATTTGGTCTCTAATAATTTAAATTATTATAATTTGGTACTTCCCTTCTAATGATTTAAACGGAGTTAACTGTTGGCCACGTGGATGCTACGTGGATGCATAGGTGGATATCAAATTTCATGAATACACTTGGAACCAGAACGGCCCGTTCTAAAACCAGAACGGGACGTTCTCGTTACACTATTAGTGTGTAAATTTGGAATCTGGAACAGGACGTTCTGAATCTAGAACGGTCCGTTCCAATTGCAAAATTAACACATATCATGTGCATGCGGAACGGGTCGTTTTGGACGGAAGTCCCAAATTGTAATAATTTAAATTATTGGAGACCAAATTGAAACAAAAAATTAAAGTGGGACTAAATTGAAACAAAAAAATATTATAAGGACCAAATAAGAGTTTTAACCTTTAAAAAATTATATGCTTGTGTGATAAATTTTTATATTATTTTTAAAAATAAAATTATCCTTATATCTTTTTTATATTTAAATATAAAATTTTGATGTAATTATAACTTTTTGTTATACTTATTATCATTTTATTATATTCATAAAAGATAATTAAAATATGTTTTGGTCTTTAATTATAAATTTTTTTAAATCTAGTTTTAATTTTTTTAAAACTTTATTCTATTTTGATTCTTCTAATTTGAAGATGTACCATTTTTGGTCCTCAAAGTTATTTATGTAGTACTTTATAATAAACAACAACATAGAATTAAATTGAATATGAAAAACATAATACATCTTTATGAGATTTGTTAACACTATGTTATTTATTTAATATAATAAAATTTGTCATTTTAATTAAATCATACATTATTTTTATGTTATAAATGTTTCTATTTTAAAATATTTATATATAAGACCACACACAAACAAGTTGTTAATTTGAATAGTTTTGGATTCCATCTCCCATCTAAACAAGGCATTTGAATAATCAATTAGGTTATTTGACAATAATTAATCATCAACAAAATTAATAGACATTATCAATAACATGATTATCAAAAACAAATATAAAGTCTATATATATATATATATATATACACACACAAAAATCATTAATTTGAATAGTTTTGGATTTGATCTTCTACTTAAACAAGGCATTTGGGTAATCAACTAGGTTACTTAACAAAAATAAATTATCAACAAAATTAATAGAAATTTTATATAAATAACATGATTATAAAAAAATATAAAAAGTATATATATATCATTTCACCTAGAGGACATTGAATATAGGATTGGTCATGAATTAATTAATTATTTTCACTCTTGTACTAACTTATTTCTATTTATCCTATTTTTTTAATCAAATTTTAAAAAATCTTTAGTTGGTATTATTTCAGTAATAATGTTATTTTTTTTAAAAAAATTATAATGTCTTCTTTATCAAATTTTCATTTTCTTAATCCAGATTATCAGTCTTAAGTATAGTTTTATGGGCTTCAAATTATCACTATATTTTCTTAAAATATATTTTTTCCATTGAGTTTTCTATCTTCAACTTCATGCATTCCAATTTCCAAACTGAGTAAAAATGTCGTAGTTCTATATATACTTTAGATATCATGTTTAACATGGTTTTCATTTAATTTTTGCCTCGTGCTTTCTACATATATTCACTGACCAGTATACTGCAAAACATAAAAATAGTCCGTTTGAATCTCAAATCACGTTTGAGGCAGAAAAATATAATTTAAGGGGGGTGTATTGGATTAGGATTTTAAAGGACTGATCTTTAGGATCTAGGCCAATCTGCCAAAATCCAGATTTAAGATCAAACTTTGAGAAATAGTATGCATCTTTTATGTAGGCATGAAGTGAATATATCTTTGGAAGAGGAAATTTGTCATCTTTTAGAAATATGTTCAAAGGTCTATAGTTGATGATGACAAGTCGCTTTTTGTTTCTGACTTGTTCAGCTCTTTTATTCACATAAAATGTCGTACATGCCCAACTTGAGTTAGTGGGCTCAATGAGTCCTTGTTTCAACAATTTTTGGCATTCTTCTTTGGTTGCTTGGTATTCACTTGGTGACATTCCAGGGTGACTAGCTTTGGTTGGATTGATATCCTCATTCATTTTGAAAGGAAGTTGAACAAAGAATTCTTTTCTTGTCCACAAAGGTTATGGATGTTTGAAAAGATCATGGCTATCAGCACATAATTTTTTGAGTTGATTTCCAATATCTTCAAATCCTTGAGGGATTTCTGCTAATGAAAACATATTTGAAGTTTTGCAAAAAGGCTTAAATTCTCTTCTATATTTTAATCCATGAGCAAGTATTTGTAACTTGGTGCTCTGGACTAAAACATCTCTACCAATGAGAATATCCTTTCCATAAAGACTATCTCCAATAACCTTCATCCAAACTATACAGTCTGGAAAAAGTTTAATTCCAATCTTGGAGGATGTGACTAAATCTGTCTGATAAGTTTTTCCATCTACAGCTATAAATTTATGAACTTGAGTTGTCCATAACTTTGAGGTTAATACTGCAGGATTGAGCATTGTTCTGGATGCACCAGTATCAATGAATGCAATGACTTTGATAAGCACATGATATTTTGTTGGCAAGATGAGTGCTTCAACATTTGGTAATAATGAAATTTCTTTTTCCTTTTGAAAACATACCTCTTCTATTTTCAACCCTAAACCCTAAACCCTAAACCCTAAACCCTAAACCCTAAACCCTACTTATCCAAGCACCCCTCTTAAGAAACTATATGTGAGCTCTTCTAGTTCAAAAACATTTCCCTCTCCTCAAGTCCTAGGCTAGACACATGCCATAAGGCATCACATGCAATAATGCATCATACATCATACATGGTCAATCCACCATCATGATCAATATCATTCTCATATGAACATACATGCATGTCATATCATATTTAAACATTCATATATATCATTACCAAGCATACATATGAATCATACATCACCATACATGATATATCATACATACATGATCAAATATTCAACTTTAAATATGCATAAGCATCATTTCCAAACTTACAACATTAAACATACTCACGCCCGGCGCAGCCAGCTTGCGCCCGGCCTAATCCCAACCCGAGAGTTCTAAAACTTATCCACGCCCGGCTTCCTTGAGACAGAGACTCAAAGGAGTCTCCATGCCCGGCGCATGCACCCTGTGCTCGGTGCCATCTAAACAGAGACTTCTAGGGGTCTCCACACCCGGCGCACTCACCCTGGACCCAACGCCATATCAGTAAAATGCCAAACAGGGTCACTATCTGATATCGCGCCCGACGTGGTTCCCTTCATGCCCGGTGTGACTCATCTAGAGACTCCCATATAAATTCGCGCCTGGCGTGAATTTAAAATGGTTGCCTTTGATAAATGCATGCTGGACGCCAAGAACTTGCGCCTGACACAAATTCAAAAAACAACCTCCCAAACTACGAAAATTTCATCAAAACCTGAAAATCAGAAGATTTCCACCACATGCAATCCAAGAAATGCAACACATAGACTCCATACAACTAGAAAACAAACTCTAATTCAACTGCATCCATTTGATGCATCGAAATCACTAAAAAAAACCCCATTTTTTTTTCCAAAACCCTGAAAATGAGTAATCTTTCAATTCAACCCTTGATTCTCAAAATTCATGCATCAATTGAGTTCCTAAACTCACATGCAACCAAACAACCTACATTCTAGCTTCCCTCACCTAAAAGTTGGCTCAAAATAGCCAAGAATAGAGTAGAAGAAGAAATTCCTCCAAAGCTCGACTCGTGGACTTCAATCCTTCAAAAGTAAGTTTCCTAGCCTGACAGTATTGTATTATGATGGGATAGTTTACATTTTCAAAATAAATTAATGCGATAAACAAACGAATTGATTTTTAAAGAAATGAAAATTATTAACCTATTGTTAAGAATTTGATTGGGATAGTAGTAATGTGATTTTCAATCATTTTGTATATCTTGAAACATCAATTTTCTGTCATTTACAATGTTACAAAGCTCAAATGCAGCTTTTATTAATATTCTCTATTTTGATTTTCATTCAAATTCATATTATTGACAAATTAAGGAAGCATGAATCTTACAATACTATCTAAAATCCATTTGTATATTCTTAACTAACTAACCATCTTGGGAGCAGAAATTTCAGTATTACATATAGGGCAAACCTTCTTAATTTGAAGCCACTTGGTTATGCAATCTGTATGATAAGGGTGCTCACACTGAATTGCCACCAAAGATTCACCTTCTTCATATTCAACTTGACAAATCACACATCGATCAATTCCACTCTTGTTTTGAGAAGAATGGAAAGTGTGAGAATGCAAGCATGAAGAAATTTCATTTGCTGATAACCCTCTTTTCTCTTGCCCTATAAAATCTCCCAACTCAATCAACTCTTCATAAGTCAATTCATCCACATCAATCTCATCTTCTTCTTCCATTCCTTCATCATCATAATCATCATTGCTTCCTTCACTCTCCAGAAATTGAAGATCTGCTTCAAACTCTTGGCTCAGGAAAAATTCAGCATCCTCATCATCATAATTGTCACCAAAAGATGACTCACTCTCACTTTCACTTTCAAATGTTGCAAACGTTGTGAATGTGCCACTTTGCTCTTGCAAGCCGTTTTCTAGAACAAAATTATCATCATTAACTTGCTCATTTTGATTGTGTATAGGGGTTTTCTGGGGGGGTTGTTTGCCTTCTTCACGTTCCATTAAGGACAACCAAAAAAAGGGTAATTACTAATTAGACAAAAAAATTGATGGGTTGGAACAGAAGAAAGTGATGGTGGTATTTGTGGAGATGAATGAGTTTAGAGATTTCTTTGAGGATGAACAAAACTTGCATGTCAAGTAATAGAAAACCCTTTTCATGTATTGTCAATATTCTAGATTCTTGGCAATTCCTAGGGTTCCTAGGGTTCCTAGGTCTCTCACCCGTTAACTTTTCTCTTTTTGGATAACGCAGTTTACATGCAAAGCAATATATAGCAAAACATTATCCTTAAGTTGCAATATACCTTATTCCATAATTGAAGAATTCGGCTAGCAGTTGCTGCTGTTTGTTACCTTAAGCTGTGAACCCTTCATTGTATAAATTATATACTAATGTACTTTTGTTCTATATTTCATTCCTATTTAAATTCAACTAAAATAAAGATGTTTTATATTATCGTCTAACCATAAATTGTTTTTTTTCCCCTTAAGTTGTTTACAAATGTGTGTTTTTTTTTTTTTTTTTTTTTTTGGGACAGACATGTATGTGCATACACATTTTTTTATATATATAAAATTACACTTAAATATTTTTTTAACAGAAAGTATAATTGTTAAATTAAATCTTAAAAATATCATGCATCATATAAGATCTCTTTTAATTCCAATTCAAGCATAATGATTCATTCGCATGATCCCTAAGCCGCAGAAACCTCCATGGGCAAGACATTGTTAATCACAATAATCTCCACTTGTGAGACAGAACTTTTGCCTTGTGTCTGTCCCCTTTATCTTCCTTTTTTTCAAAAATAATAATTTTATTTTTAGTATTCACCGGTAGAAAGAATATATTTAACAAAATGACTTTAGATCAATTATTTTATATTGGATGTGGTTTAACCAATGTAAAATGGTTTTTTTTTTCTATATCAGTTCAACAACAATAACAGATGTAAAAATTCCTTTTAATTTACTACCAATGGTCATTTTTCTTTTTGCGCTCACTTCTTCATTTTCTCACTGTCGCGACCACTCCATGCAACATTCAACCATCGTTCAAGGTCATTTTCTCCATTTTGTGGCATCAGTGCGCCATGCAAGACTTCCATTGTTGCATTAACCTAATTCATCTCCTCCACAAAACTTCCATTTCTGCATGCTCAAGGTACATTTTTCATCCCTATGTTTTTTTGGTTGTTTGTTTTCCACATGCTTGAGATTGTTTGATTGCTTCTCATTGTTAGTTGTATTATTTTTTAATTTTTGGGATTGGTTATTATTTAAGTTGTATTACCTATGTTTGTAATAAAACCTTTCAACTAAGTTATTATTTTTTTAAAAAAATAGCTAATTTATTTAAGACTATTAAATTTTTCAATAATTTAAATTATTTTTTCAAGATCAACTTTCTCTTTTCACTTCATCATTTATCACCTAATTAATTAATATTAAAAAAATAAATATTTACATGTTTATTTATTTTATCTAATCTTAATTAACGTAATTCATCTCCTTCACAAAATATAACTAATAATTAAAGTAAAGATTCACGCGATAGGAAAAAAATGAAATTGTTTTCTACGCGTGATAACAATCGTATTTGAATGCAAAATAAATAAAACCATTCTTTTAACAACCAAACTAAAATTTAAATCGACAATTTTTTCATAGGTTAAAATACTTTAAAATATATTTTTTTTTAATTCTTTCAATTTCTCTTATTTTACCTTTTATTCTCTAGTTTAAAATAAATTTTTTTGTTTCTATATCTATTTTTTAATTTTATATTTACAATTTTTTAATCTTTTTAATCTTCATATTTTTTAATAAATTTATCTCTTTTGTGTTGACAGATATATTAATTTAATTTTATATATCTGATGTCAAGTTTATTTTATTAAAATCATTTTAAATTAAGATTTTTAACACTTTGTATTTTTTTGTACTCTTACTTGTAACGTTTATTATTGAGACATTTTTTTACCTCGACAAAATTGAAAACTTTTATTATGTTAACACAAAAAAAATTATGTTACAAAAAAACAAAAAAGTTAAAAAAAATTATAGTTATAAAAACTTAAAAATTGATATTAAATTATAAAGGCTAAAAAAATTGAAAAATAAAAATATAAGAACTAAAAAATATATTTTAAATTATGAAAACTAACAAATAAAATAAGTAAAATTGTAAAAATTAAAAATATTTTAATTTTTTTTCATATTATAATTTAATTAGTTCAACTAGTTAAATTTGAGGTTGGGCCACGTCTAAATTTGATTATATTGGAGCAATAAATGTAACTAATTTCTGTTTACCTCAATTCCAAACGTGTGGTTCAGCGGTAGGAGTTGATCCACGCTTAAGTAAGGTCAGGGGTTCGAATCTTGCCTTGTGTATGCAGCCACGTTAAATCTTGGGGCCAATTATCCCACCCTTTGAGGTAAAAAAAAATAATTTCCGATTGCCTCATCATATATACATTTTCTATTTTTTATACATACACTTTCTATCCTTTTTTTAGAAGATAAATTCTAAAATATTTTTTAATTAGTTTTTATTTATTTGTTTTAAGTTGTATTTTAAAATTAAAAAAATTAACCCTTCCTCCATTCGAGGTTGAACCGCATCTAAATTTAATTATATTGGAAAAAATTGCAACTAATTTTTATCGACTCATGATATATTTATTTTCTATTTTTTTTATAAATACAGTTTTTATCCTTTTTTTAAGAAAAATTCTAAAATGTATTTCTAATTAATTTTCTAGTGATAATGTATACATTTTTTTTATATATTTTTGTATAAATATATTGGAGAAAAAGTGTAATTAATTTTTATTGGCTCATAGTATATATATTTCCTATTTTTTATAAATACACTTCCTATCCTTTTTTTCAAAAGAAAAAATTCTAAAATACCTTTCTAATTAACTTTTTAGTGATGATATATGCATTTCCTTTTTTTTATTTATAAATATTCTTCTTTTTCCTCTATAATCAAGACAATCATACATTTAATACAAGGTATAAATTAATATGTTAAATTTCATATGCAATTTTTGTTTCTCTATTTTAAAATAGAGATATTTAGTTCTTCTAATTTTAAAATTACAAAATTTTGGTCTTTCCATCAAATTGATATTTACTAATCGTTAAGTTTTAACATTTACTCATACTTAAATATAATATCTAATATTTTAATTTATGTTATAAAATTTAAAATCATAAGGATACAAAAGTAAATTGATTTTTAAAATATCTCTTCTCTCCTTGTGAACTAAACAAGAAAAAGCTACTTCTCCTCCCCCCCTCTCTTCTCAACCATATAAAATTTCTAACTTATCTCTTCCTATAACACTTTAATTTAAATGTTGTTGTATTATTATTGATGTTGTGTTAGAGTTTTGAGGGTTTAGGATAGTTTGAGTTAGATGTTAAGTTGGTTCGGCTTAAAGATTGGTATATAAGATTTTTTTAACACGTAAACCTTGTAAATTCATGTTTTAAGAAACATTAGAAAGAAGTTCTCTAGAACCCAAATCTTATTCTCTTTCTTTTGTACTAAAAATATTTCCTTCTCCCGTCCTGATAGCTAATCCAAGGTGATTGTTGGAGATTCGAGCTCTCGAGATAAGAACCTCAAGGTGGAGTTACGCAAATTTCTTCCTTCTCCTTCTCCTTTTCTTAATTAATCGACTAGACGTAAGGAAAAGTTGTCTATATGATTATTTTTGGATTGTAATGGTTGTTTGTTATTGATATTCATCAAGGATGATTTTTTTGAATTGAATTCCATGAGAATTTGGTTACTTGAGTTTTTGGTTTCTTGGAGGTGGTTGTAAAATGGATTAATGGTTCTTGTAAATCTTTGGTTGCTTATTGCTTTTGGAGTTGTTTTCGAGTTCTATATGTTACATGTGTCTTGTATTCCCTATTGCATGTTGATGTTTGTTGAATTTCAAGTGGAATGAGCTAAAATAAGCTTCTACCAAGTGTATAACTCATCATCACGTCGAGCTCGCCTTCATGGTGTCGAGCATAACTCAAGTTAGGGATTTATCGACTCTGATGACGTAGGATTGGTAGCCTGGGTGTGAGGAGAAAGAATTGTCTCTAACTTGATCATGTCAAGCACATGTTTAAATGATGTTGAGTGAGAGGATAAAGAATCATTTCTGCCTGAATTAGCATCAAGCACTATTATTGTGGTGTCATACATGAGTCAGGGAAAGATACTTTGCCTAATTGAGGTTGAGCGTGGAGTTTTACCGCACTAAGCATAAGAAACCTAGAAGTTCTTTGCCTCATCCATGCAAGGTGTCGGTGTATTGGCACTGGATGTGGGCAAGACAATAAACCCCTATTTTAATAGTGTTGGGTGCACTGGAAATTGCGACGTGTATGAGTTGCATGATAAAACATGATGTTTTCAGTTGATTAATAGTTGAAAAATGATGATTAAGTTGTATGATGAATTTTGTTTGATGATAACTCATTATGCTTTAAGTTGATGTAATGAATAGTGATGTTTATGTTGTCAAGAGGTAATTTAGTAGATGATTAAGTTGCAAAGTTGTACGATACTATAGTTGAATCAAGTTGTTAGGCATGTGGTGAAAATGTGTCTTAGTAAAGATACATAAAGATTAAAGAATAATTACATTGTTTAAGTTGTTTCCTCTAGGATTTATGTGGAACAATATGGTGGTGTGATCGATCCATGTTGTAGTTGAAGTTACCAACCAAGTAAGATTCAAGGTTGAGGACTAATAAATGGTTTGGAGGGTATAGTATTTGGAGGGAAATCAATGAGCTAATCCCATAGAAGGCTTAGTGTTGCAAGTTAATATTGTGGTAGACTCATATCCAAGTTGTTCTATCTAGACATTAATACTAAACTTTCTAGTTTAAGTGACGAAACTTGATAAATCAATTTAAGTTATATACCTGACACTCTATGAGGCTTAACGTTGTCTATACTTGACCTAATTATGATAGGTCAAGCATTGTGGTTTGGTAGGGTCTAATCACTTATACTACTCACCTTTATTGTAGGAGATCTCCGTAACTAATATACTTAACGATGCATTAATTGTTTAAAGCTATTTATGATGATATTATTGTTATGTTGTAAGTTGTTGTGATGTTGGCGTGATGATATTGTTAACAAATTAAAAGTTATATTGTTGAGTTACATTGAATATTGATTAAGTTGTTTATATTTATTTTACAAGTTGTTGTGAATGCTATGTTGATTCTTCACAAGCTTACCCCTTTCTTTTCATTGTAGTTGAAACTGTAATGATCATAGTTTATATGTGAGTAAGACATGATTAGGAAGTTGACTTGTTTATCCGGTGCAAGATTATGTTGGTGATGACCCAACTTTGGAGATATTATTTTGATGTAGCTCAATTTTGTATATACGCTTAATTGACGATTAAGGATCTTATGTAGTAGATTATGTGTGTATATAACCCTATGAGGAAATTTTATACTTTTAGTATTATGTTTTTTGTCTTATACATATATAGATTCATGAATGACTAAGTAACTATTGCATGAGAATCCTATGATAATTGATTGTTATATTTTATTTCCGATACATAGTAGTTGAACTATATTAAGAGTAATAATCTATAGTCATTATACTTTCCATTATTTTTGCCTCCATTAAAATATCCCCCCC